AAGCTATATCACCAGCCCTTTTTTATGTTTTTAATTAATTTATTTATTTTAGGTATATATAACACCAGAATGCATTTTGATTCATAGGACACAACTGCAGCACAATTTTTCATTTCTCTGGTTGTACAATGTGTAGCATCATACCATATGTGCAGTCATACATGTAACTAGGTTAATGATGTCCATCTCATTCCACCATTTTTCCTGGCCCTATCCTTTGCCCAAAGTTCCTCCATTTTTCCCATGCTCTCCTTCCATTATGGATTAGCATCCACTTATCAGAGAGAACATTTGGCCTTTGGTTTGGGGGGATTGGCTTACTTTGCTTAGCATGATATTCTCCAACTCCATCCACTTACCTGCAAATGCCATAATTTTATTCTCTTTTAATGCTGAGTAATATTACACTGTATGTATGTATGTATGTATGTGTGTATGTATGTGTGTGTGTATGTATGTATATATATATATATATATATATATATATATATATATATATCACAGTTTCTTTATCCATTCATCTATTGAAGGGCATCTAGATTGGTTCCCAGTTTAGCTATTGTACATTGAGCTGTTATAAACATTGATGTAGCTGTGTCACTATAATATGATGATTTTAAGACCTTTGGGTATAGACCAAGGAGTGGGATAGCTGGGTCAAATAGTGGTTCCATTCCAACTTTTCTAAGGAATCTCCATACTGCTGTCCAGAATGGTTGCACCAATTTGCAGTCCCATCAGAATTGTATGAGTGTGTCTTTTTCTTGTTTGTTTAATTTTGAGACAGAGGGTTTCACTAAGTTGTCCAAACTGGCTCGAACTTGCCATCCTCTTGCCTCAGCCTCCTGAGCAGATATGATCATATTTTTTAAAGAATTTTCATGCTTATCAGATACAAACAAGCAGAAAGCCTTAAATTTATATGATAAAAGTATATCTAAATTTTCTATATTAATGGTACAATTCCAGAATACAAAGCAAAAGAAGCAAGAGGTAAGGAATAGTGCAGAATGCCCTCCAAATGAGCCCTAAGTCACCTGAATGAGAAATTAACAGAGATGTGGAACTTACACAGGTACTAGCATAAATATTTTCCACCAAATACTCTTCTTTTTAAGGCCTGCCTGTTGTTATCTTTGTGTTCAATATAAACATGGGACAGGGTTATCCTCGAGAAACCTGGGGAAGTTTCCATGAACATGGTCTCTGGGAAATTCTGTACACAAATAAAAGACATTAAAACCAGTTAAGTTCAACCAAACTGGTGGATATTTTGAAAGAAAAAGAATAAATTTTGCAAATAGTTAGATGATTGTTTGGCTGAATTTGTTCATTTGTCCATTAAATCCAGACACACAAGATAGTTAGTCCACAGCTACTCATAGAATAACTGGGAAGTCGTTGGATCACTTAATTCTTTTGGTCATGCCTAAGAACATACTTTTAAAGCCTCCTTGAGCAGTGCCATTCACAACTCTGAGTTTCTAGCACACGAAGTAGCACTTTAAAATGCCTATTTCTCGATATTATCCTCCTTAACACATGACCTCATTTTAATGATAGTGGCACGTTGGCTACAGCTGTAGTAGGACTAGACTGCTGACCCCTGCTTCTAATGAAGGAGTTCTCACAGAGTAACCTTCCTTTGCAAGGGCTTAGAGTTCAAGGAGTTGATGGAAGTGACTGAATTTTGACAGGGATCCTTGGCTGAACTTTTATTTATTATTTGTTTGTTTGTTTGTTTATCTATTTATTTATTTAGTTGTGTTAGGGATTGAAACCAGGACCTTATGCATGCAAGGCAAGCACTCTACCAACTGAGCTATGCCCCCAGCTCCCTCAGCTGACCTTGCAGGTCTCACCTCATGTTTCATTTTCCCATATAGGCCTCCACTCCATATACAATCCCACCTATCCCAGCTCATCCTGGTCATTTTACTCTGCCTTACGCAGGCAACACCTCCAAAGCCTCTAATGTCCTGATCATTCATGCTTCCTGTGACTTCACTTTCCATCCTCCACAAGAACATAAATTCCCTGGGGCCAGAACTCCTGTCTCATTCAAGCTTACATTTTCAACACAGAGAACAGTACTTGGCATAGTTGATCAAAAAATATTTCTTGAATAAAGGAATGAATGAAGAATGAAGTGAACAAATAATTACACTGATAAAACGGCCAGAATAAATACCAGGAAATAAAGGTAGTGAAACACTCTTTTGAATCAAACACTGTAGAATAAGTAATTTACTCTAGAAAAGTATCAGGCCGAAGTGAGAATTTGTAGAACAAGCTCTCGCTTGGACTTTTGAAAGAGTTCCCCAAAGTTAACTTGGACATTTACTAAATGTCCATACACTGGTCATGAGAAATGTTATGTACAAAGAGCCAAACTGGTTTTCCCAAGACAAGATGTCCATAATGCAAAGTAACCTTTTGGGGGCCATTTTTCCAAAGAAAAAATTAAAATGTATAAGGAGGAGAGGAAGGAAAGAGTTCATCTTATAAAAATCATTGTGATTGAACAGAATTGCTTAATTCTCCTACATAAATGCTTATCACACTTATTGAAACTAGAAAAGAGTAAAGTCCAAATTGATGGGACTAAGAAGATAAAAGGAAAGCAGTATGCACTTCAAACTGTGTCCAAGTTGCTGACCCAGAGACCTTTGTCTCCAGGAGAGGAACATTTTATGAACATTTCAGCATTTAACAATTGATGATCATGGAGCTGACAGAAGGAGAAGAAAAGAAACGGCACAACTTGCCCTGGGGAAAGCAATTTGTTCCAATGACAACTCTAGAAGATTCTATTTAAAAGATGCCTTTCGGTATTCCAAACATGCACTGGGGGATAGTTGAAACTACTAAAGTTTGACCAAAAATAAAGTGATAAAAGACAGATTTCATTTCTACTTTTAGGAGACCTACTGTATCTCCCCCAATACCATGCCTTTAAGCCACTAACGGTATCTCATACCAAGAGGTCAAGTCTCTTTCACAGGAATTTAGCAAGACATTTAACTATTTCTCAAGATCCATTTTAGGCAAAGTCAAGACACGTGAACTATTGGTGTTTATTAGGATTTATTTCTGTGAATAAACTGCCCCTGCCCCCCCCCACACACACAATATTAATACATCGGTTCTCAAAATATGGGATATTTTTAGTATAGAATTTCAGCATTCTGAACTTGGCCTCTTCAATTTTATAATTTTTATGAATATGAAAATAGAAACATAGAAGGCATGTTGACCGATATTTGTAGATGCCAGAAAATTAGAGTGATTTCTTGAGGGAGGATAAATTCAAAAGAAGAGTCAAAACTAAACCATTCAATGCTTCAGATTCAGGTTAAAGATGTCAGAGCAAGCAATCGTTACTAGGAAAAGAGAGAGAGAGTTAGTTTCAATCACCTAACAAATTTAGTATGAACTAAAAGCAATGGAGTTTCTAGAAAAAAAATTGTGCATTCATGACTATCTAGAACTGTAATTTCAAAGCTGAATAATACTGAGGCTGCATAATTAACATTTTTTGAATGAATGAACAAACAGAAGAACATTTTAATGAATTAAATAACTAACAAATAATTTTGAAGCTTTCCTAGGCAAAACTGATGTTTTAGTCAGCTTTTTTGCCACTGTGACCCAAAGGATCCATCAAGAACAATTTTAGAGAAGGAAAAGTTTATTTGAAGCTCATGGTTTCAGAGGTCACAGCCCATACACAGCCAACTCCATTGCTCTGGGCCCAAGGAAAGGCAGAACATCATGAAGGAAGAGTGTGGTAGCAGAAAGCAGCTCAGAACATGGCACCAGAAAGCAGAGAGAGAGAGAGCTCTGCTTACCAAGGACAAACTAACAAACCCAAGGGCAAGCCTTTCATGACCTACCTCTTCTATCCTCATCCTACCTGTCTACAGTTACCACCCAGTTAATCCATTCAGATGGATTAATGCACTGATTAGGGTAAGGTTCTTATAACACAATCATTTCACTTCTAAAGTTTCTTGCATTGTTTCACACATAAGCTTTTGGGAGGAAAGAGGACACCTCATATCTAAACTGTAACAATTGGTCAAAAGTTGCATGGTATTTCCTCACATTTGTAGTTGCAAATATTTGATAGTTTTCTTTACAAAGTAGTAAATTCCCAGTTCTGGCCGTCTGAAAGTAAATGGCAACCTCTTTTACATGAAAACCTTGAATTGCACAAGAGAAGTAAACTAGATGGCATCGAATGTGCTCTCTACCTAAAGGATTCTCCCGAAGAATTTTTCAAGGAGAATGGGTAGAGATGACAACCATAAGAGATCTTTTTTACCCAACCAGAAGGGAAACTAGTAAGCAGTTTCCTTCTCCCTAGAAAACATTGGCTAAAAGTTCAAAAAGACCTAGAAACTCCATCTCTTCCATCAAAGAATTACAAAGTTGGGGCATGTTAGTTAATGTCTCTAAGCCCCAGTCTTCTCATCTGTTAATTAGGGATAATTCTCTTAATAAGGTGGTCTCCTAACTAGAGAATATAATGACTGTCATCCATAAAATGTGCAATACATTGTGGTTAGTATTCAGGGTGTAGCATATTTGTTCAGGTATATAGCAGGGTGTGTCCTCTGGGGCTCACATCTATCTCTCATTCTACTCCTCTAGAAAAACACAGTAAATTGTATTTAATCATTATTTGGTGCTATTGAACCCAGAGACCCTCTGCCACTGAGCTACATCCCCAATCCTTTTTATTTTTATTTTATTTTTTTGAGACAGGTTTTTTCTAAGTTTCCCAGGCTGGACTTGAACTTGTGATCTTCTTGCCTCACTCTTCCAAATAGCTGGGATTATAGGTATGTACCACTGTGACTGGCTTGATTATTCTGTATTAGTCTTTTGTTAATATCTCTTTCTTTCTAAGATTGGCTTAACTCTTTCATTTGCCACTAAGAGATCTTTAAAACATAAACACACAAAGAAAGAATTATACACAAGACAAATTTTTATGAAATCCTAACATTAATTTTATTGTGGAAACAAGTGTGCTCACCAAATCAAGTCAGCCACAGATAAAAATTTCCTCACATAATTTATAACTAAAATTTTCTCAAATTGGGATTCTTACTACATGACAAAGTTACAACAATATGGTTTCTTTTGGACACACTAATCTTTCAACAGAGCAAGAATTCACAGGAACTGAAAGCTAAAACACATTGGATATGATTTTGCATTTTTTTTACATAACATTACTTTTTCAAAAGAAGGACTCTGTATGCTTTAGGAAAGAGAAAAACTATTTGTGGCTTTTTAATAGTTTCTGTCAAATATTTTACAGGTGATTCTGAGATCATCTTCATTGTGATGCGGAACTCCCGAGACTGAAAATAGAGTCAGTTGTCTTCCTAGAGGAAAAAACTGAACACCATATTCATCAGGGCAGAGAGCCAGAGGGGGTAAAATATACATTACCAGTATATAAGCAACCACATAGATCAACACTCCACTCAACTCAATTTCCTTCCTCAGAGAATGTTATAGTTGTGGAACTGCATTCAATTCTTCTGAAATCTCTGGTAAACAAAACCCATTTCCTTTACAAGAATAAAGAAACAAGAGATTGACATTTGTTGAGGTTTTGACAATTGCTATCACTGTACAAAGCACTATTTTCCAATTAAATATTTAGTACAAATGTATGAAGTAAGTCATATTCTCCTTATTGTAAAGATAAGCAGTCTGAGGTCCACTTATTTATTAACTACTATGGTGGACAAAGTCTCTGAAAAATAAAAGAATTTTTAAAAAAATGTTCCTTCTTTAGATCCATTACTTATTTTTCCCTGCCATTGAAATAATGTTTTTATTTTACATTTTCAGATTTTTTCATCCACATCTTCAGTTTTTGATCAGGGCTAATGCAATTTCATTCCTATATATTTTCTCCAGGAATTGAAAACAGGTATTCAGGCAAGTAGTACAGGTATACTCATGTTCACAAGAGCAGGATTCACAATTCTGGATGGAAATTGTCCAGATATCCACTGATGCATGAGTGAATAAACCAGTTGTGTGTGTGTGTATTGTGTGTGTGTATACACAATGGAATGTTATTCACCAATAAAAATAAACGAAGTTCTTATATATGCTGTGATGTGGATGAATCTACAAAGCATCATGCAAAGTGAAGGAAGCTAAACACCATCACACATTCTCCATGATTCCATTTATATAAAATATCCAGAAGAGATAACTCTATAGAGATAGATTGCAGATTGGCAGTGTCCAGGGCTGTAGGTAATAGGGTAGCAAGAAAATTGTTTAATAAATAATGGAGTTTACTGTTGGAGGGATGAAATGATCCTTGGAACTCCATAGAGGTACTTGACAGTTACAGTGAACAGCTTACTTTAAAATGGTTAATTTTATGGCAAATGAATTTAATTTCAAGCTAATTTTTTTTAAAAATCAGGGCTAATACTATTATCTCCTACCTTCCCCTCACATTTGGTCTGAAGTTACTGCTGGGAATTTTCTTGTCGGGGAAAGTGATAGTGATCATACAGTTTTCAAATTCTCCCGCATTCAACTCCTCGAGCTTTTCAGCCAGCAGATGGCGCTCTGGTTTCGGCTGTCACAGAAATTGATCGCCGCACCCAAAGGACGGATTTCCATCAATGAGAAGAGGACAAACACGTGTGTTTAAACTCTTCTATTTAGTTAAATTTTTTGGATAATGCTTCTTAGTTCCCTTTAAGAAATTATTTTCAATCCAATAATGAAGTGAATATGAAGCAGTAACAGAACCGAAGTCCCTGTGAAAATAGTCGCTATGTGCCACTGAAACAGCAAGGATAGGTACAAAGCACCAGTTTTATAAGCAGATGGACCTAGATTCGAATCCATACCCCTCCAGGAGATGACTGTGTGTCCTTGAGCAAGTTCCTTAATCTGTCTGCATCTCAATTCTCTCTTCTGCAAATTGTTGATAATAATATTGTACCTATTTCTGAAGGCACTTGTGACAATTAGAACGCTGAATGCAGCAACAGGAAAGGCCGCAAGATGGCAGAATGGAGACAAGACTGGAACTGCAGTAGTCGATGAGGTGCTCAGGCAGATAAACTTTGTTCATCCTCTGCCCTGTGAACTGGCTAGGGAGGCCTTCACGGTTCTGTCAGATGGGGGTTCGCTAGTTCACATCTCAAGTTAGTGTTTTACTAAGTAATACTTAGTGATTTTCACCATCTGGGAAACAAACAAACAAACAAACAAACAAAAAAACAACCTCTTCTTCCTGCCCCAGACATATATTCATCAAACTTAATCATTCTGTTTTAGCATGATTTAGTTATAGAATTTTATAAATCGGACAAGATCTCACCTGATTTGAGGATGGGGTGCTTTTACATACAGAGAGGACACAAGGCAGGAGGAGAGAGGCCTGATGGGACAAAGAAGCCCCTTGTGTACATTGCCCGTGAAGAAAGGCTCTTTTCATAGTGTAGGGGGACCAGGGTTGAGAAATTATTTCTAGTAAAGTTGGTGGCACTGGGGTGGGATACACACACTGCACATGTGTGTCAGGGGAAAATGGTTTTTGAAGAACTTATTTTATGATTATGATTGTAAAAAAGAACACATGCTCATTGAACAACATTTAGGAATTATATAAGATGGAAAATGGCTACATGTAAGCAAAATTATAATTTCCCAGATGTTATATCTATATACATGAATAGGTAGAGGAATATGGGAGGTACACTGAGAAGCATGTGAAAGTATCAAGTGGTGTAGCTGATAAGTTTGATAATATTTAAGCAGATAAAATATCGATGTAAACTAGGAACCAGCCATCTAATTCGAATACATTTTCATGCAGGTCCATAAGCTCACATACACAAAGACAGCAATGTGGTTTGTGGCATCTAAAAACTAGAGGGAACCTGCATGTCCATCCCTGAGAAAGTAAATGAACTCATTGTGGCATATTTACCAGAACCTGTGCAAGCAGGCACATGGCTGAGCAGCACATACATATGACCTTCTGGAGCAGTGTTTCATGGGAACAAGAGCAGCAGGCATTGGGACCTCCAAAACTGCTCTATCACACTTTGGGACGGTGCACAGCAATCTAGCAGAGACAGGCGTTTAACTCTGGCAGAAGGACCCTGAACTTGGATAATGGAGTTTGAAAGCTACATAAATGAAGCTGCATTGGCCCTTTCAAAAAGCAAATTCCACCTGTATATTTTTTTTAGGAAACTCTAAACGTTTTGCTGAATAACTTATATGGAAATTTAAAAGCCCGAGAATAGCCCAAATATTCCTAAATTTTAAAAAGATAATAGCATTTGTCCAACCCGTTATGCAGGCTTCTTGTAAAAATAGAATAATTGACATTGTATGGTATAGACACGAAGTTACATTTATTGACCAACAAAACAGGGAGGGAACCCACGAAAGACAGAGTGAAAATACAGATGGCTGGGGAAGAGAATGCTATCAACTAAATGATGGTGGACAATTAGTTAGTTAAAAGGGGAAAATATAAAAGGTTGGTTCCCCATATACTTTATACAAAGATATGAAAAATTGTGCTCTCTATGTGTTATAAGAATTGTAATACATTCCGCTGTCATGTATTTAAAAAAATAAAATCAATGAAAAAAAGTTGGTTCCCCAGTTCACACCATGTATAAAAGCCAATTTCAGATGAATTAAAGATTGAAATACAAGAAATAAAAATAAAAACATTTATAAGATATGAAAGATTATACTCAGTGAGGCTGAGACCAAAAAAAAAGGCATGGCTTATTAAGAGAAAAGATTGAGACATTTGACTATATTAAAATTTTAAATATTGATTTTTAAAAGCACCAGGAAGAAAGTTAAAAGGAAATATCATAAACTTGAAGGAGATATTTATAAAACATAGAATCCTTAAGGGAATAGAATCTGGAACGTATTTTAAAAACATCTGCAAGTCAACAAGAAAAAGACAACTCAAAAGAAAAAAGTCATACTGAAGTATTTCATAAAAATAGGAATCATGAATGATAAATACACACTTGGAAAGGCATTCACCTGTATTAGTAATCACAGAAATATGGAAAACATTTGAACATCTTCATATCAAGTTAAATATTATATACCCCAAACCAAACAGTTCCACCATGGGTATCCTAGCACCCAAGAAAAAATCTTGGACATGAATAAGAACATGTATTACTATATCATTTGCATCAGCAAAATTTGAAAAACCTCCCTCAAATTTTCAATGAAAGGAAAGTGACTTATATAAATTATAAAACAATTACAGATTGAGTATTATTATAGAGTCTAAAAATGAATGAACCGTAGCTACACAAAAGCATATGGATGCATTTTAGAAACATAATTTGAAATAAAATCAGCAAATCAAGGAAGACCACAGATAGGATGATAATAAATGTTGTATCTCTCAAAACCATGCTCTATATTTTGTACATTAGCGAAACATACACTAAAAAAACTAAATTACTAAATTAAAAAATGTAAGGAAATGATGCACATAAAATTCAGGAGGAAGGTGGCATAGGGATAGGTTTGGGGAGAATTGTTACAGGAAATGATCAAGTTCTAGTCCTTCAGTCCACAGCTGAATCTAGTACTGGATTCACAGATATTCATTTTCTGACTCTGTATTTATCTTATCTAAATGTTTCTGTGTTCTTTACACATCAACTATTACATCTTTTTTTTTAAAGTTTAAGTATATTTACTAAAACAAAAATAAAATCCAAACATTTAAGTATAGCACATTTATTCAGGCATGTTATACAGTTTGGTTTTCTCCTATATTCAATTCTATTTCTTTTAATGCCTCCTTAAATAGATAAATTTTAAAAATCATGTCCTTCAGATTCTTCACTGGGAAGCATACTGTCAAAGAAAGACAAGTGGATTAGGAGTAGATTAGGAGTAGAAGCGGGAAATAAAGACCATTCCCAACTATAAGGGGACCCTGAAGAGACAGACTTTGATCTGATACTAGATAGCAAAGGGTACTTTACTCTTTGTTTGAAAAATATAACATACATAGATAAGTCCCTGTCTATAAAGGTCTGCCATTCAAACATTTTAACTTGCAACAGGACATCTCTATTGACACACAGATGTGTACATTATGGTGGAGTTTGTGTCTATTATTTACTATTACCCATAATTTAACAAAACTCATTTCAAATTCTGAGGTACTATTTTAAAAAGTGTGTCTTTGGCTAATATAGAATTTAAATTATAATTTTGTTTTAGGTACATAGTAGATTCTTTTTTTTTTTTTACTTTTGACACTTTAGCACCTTGTAATTTCTGCAAAGACCCTATAAATTTGGATCAAAATCAACACCCACAACTCTCTCTTTGGCATGACATTATTCTAAGACAGACACATTTGATCCAGTTCTTACACGATACTTTTCCAAGTGCCAGATTTCTTCAGTAGATGCTGAAGAATGAGAACATGGTTTAAAGAACACAGGCTTTACTGTTAGGATATGAACTCAAGTGTGATTTACTAACTAGCTGGGTCAAGTTACTTAACCTTTCTGAGCCTCAATTTACTCATCTGGAAAATGGAGAAAAATCATTGTATTGGTGAGGACTTTATTTATTTATTTTGTCTGAAATGCAATTTGCCTGCAGATCCAATTTAAAATAACTCACAGAACAAATATAGAAATTTCACATTGCCGGAAGGTTGGTGGTCAACATGATGAGATCCAGAATACGTTAGGTATCTTTCTCCATCCCTCTTCTCTACCAGTCTCTAAATATTCACATTCTTATACAAACAAACTCAGATCAGCTGCTGGAAAAACTAGAGTCAACTTCTTCCAGCTGTCAAGTTTAGGAGGGTAGAGAAGGAGGATAATTCTTCCACTCTACATCTGATTCATCTTTTTTAGGTCTCATACTAACTAGTAGGCCAATCATTGCCATAAGAAGGTTGGGCTCTTACAATGGAGAACAAAGGAGCAGGCATAGTGATTGACAGACCAGGACCACTTATTGTGGATAAAAAGCAGATCTTGCAGTGGTCAAAAGAGGTTTATAGACAAAAAATATCAAAGTCTACTACAACAGTAATTCCTCTAATGAGGATGTTATACAGGCTGGAAATATGAGATGAATGGTTTGCATTTGTAGAATGCATTAACTATTTGATTAAAATGATTTTTATTAAGTAAATTAATATGAAGAGATTGAAAGGGAGGAGCGTAAGATCATATTAGCATGAGGCATCTTTACAAAGTTATTTCTTGTGTAAAATTGGAAAAAATTATTACATATTCTTTACAAAGCAAATTACAGACAAAATGAAGGAAATAAATATTAGTTTATGTTTAATATAGATTTTTTTGAGAAATGAAAGCCATAATAAAATCTCCAGTGTCTTTATGTGCCCACAATAAGCTGAATGTCTCATTTTCTATCAGGAACAAAATGTGCTCAGGGGTGTGAACATGTCATGATTGCTTAGCTTAATGGGTGTGAAGTAAATGCACTCTTTTCTAGAGGGAATTTTTTTTCTAAAGATCATTGCAACATTTACAGAACTAAGCACAGTTTTATAAAATGGAGTGGTTGGAAGTGACCTGAAAAGTTCATCAAATCTTTGCTATGGCTTTAGAATGACAATCAAAACTCTCCAGGGAAATAACTATATTGAAATAGATTTTTTTTAATGCCTTCTAGGGAGAGCCTCTCTGGGGAGTTTAGGTTTCACACAATAAATCAAATCCACCTTCACCTCTTCCCTTCAGGCTGCCAGAAAATAATTGGATTACACCATCTCTCCCAAGGCAGTGGTTCTCAAACTAGGTTATTTATCAGAACACTTGGGAAAGCTTGTAAAATACAGATTTCCAGTCCACTCCACATGTACTGAAGCAGGACCCAGGATTTAGTATTGTTTTAAATCTTCCCCCAGGTATCTTTCTGTAGCCACTTTGATCCATGTGCTGGCCTTGGGGAAGCCCAGAGTTCAGGACCAAGGAGATATTTAATCATGACTCTAAGATGTCATTGTAAAAGAAGTGTGCCTCCTATTGTAGCAAACACTGGGAGAGAAACATTACGGTAGCTGTTTTAATTTTTGATGCTCAAACTATATGTAGGAAGTTTTCAACTCTTGACATTTCCCTAATTTTCCTTTCAGAATATTGATGTTACTATTCTGGGTACTGACTGTTAAAAATATTAAATCATATCTAGTTCTAAAGCTTTGCAGGCTTTAGGTTTCCTACTATATGCTCTGGATGTTGGAAAGTGCTAGGAAAAAATATGAGATCATGATGAGGAGAAAGAATAAGCAGACAACCTGTTTTCATTTCATAGCAGAATTTTCTGAATTTATTAAGAGCAGCTCCCATTTTTTCTGAAAAAGTTTACCAGCTCACAGCAAAATGATGAACTATCATGAATTTATTAAAAACATGATTGTGAAAAATTTTAAAGAGATCAGAGATCAGGAAAAGGTTTCCACTCTGCTCTTTCCTGCTTATATCACATCATAAACATTTTCCATGTAGTTGTAATTCTTCACATATATGTTGGCATGGATAAGATATCTATGCATATACATACATACAATCTGTAAATAAATGCACCAAAGTACATGCTAGCATATCAGCAGTAGTGGGATTATAGATAACTTTAACTTCATTTTTGTGTTTTTCAACTTTTCTATAAAAAGATACATAAATTTAAAAATTTAAAAGATATATATAATTTAAAAATAAATATATAAAAATTTTTAAAAAGTGAAAAATATGCACATTCTGACATGTATTTTATATACTTTAGAAAGAGTAATTGGTTTGGCATTCTTTCCCAAGTTTAGTAAAACAAAGAAAGCATAAAATAGCTTATACATAGAAAAATAAAGTATGAACCTGCACCTAATAAGAAGTTGCCAGAAGAAATAAGGCAGGGTCTCTCATTTATCTATTTCTAACTAATTTATATGCCTTAACTCAGCCTCCTTTAGTAACTTTCTAATGTTTCCAAAAGGATATATTACTTTTATGAATGAGAAAAACACTATTTAAGTAAACTCAAAAGTGTAACCTCTCCTTTAGAAGCAACTATTTCACATTGGATTATTCTGTTACTAGAGATAAAAAAAAAAAAGAGTTACTTTTTGTTTTGTATCTCTTGGTATGATTTTTACATTTTGAGTTTTCTTTATCATAGACTTCCTCTCTTTAGGACGTTGGCACAGTTTTACTGGCTCTACTCCAGAATTTAAATCTATGTCAGATATGGAATGTTATCCATCTTCTCAGCCCTGGACCATCTCCTAAGGGCGTGAGTTTCTAACTCCCCACTTGCCTGAGAGGCAAAGGGTAGCTCTTGTTCCTCATGTTCAGTCAGCAGCCTTAATGCATCTAACCTCTGTATGTCCAATGAACTAATGGCTTAGAACTCTGCCACTGGCAACTCTTCATATGCCTGGATTCACAGGTGGTGCCCCAAGAAAGGCACAGCCAAATGGGAGGTACTTATTACCACACCCAGGGGGAGTTTCTTCATCATCATCCCCATCACCTTCCGTTTTGCACACTGCTTCATTTCGACTAAGAATAGTACCTGGCCATGCTGGACACTCAAAAACATTTGCTAATGAATGAATGTGTCAACGAATCACATGGATATTTGACATAGAGAATAGAGAAATGTGCTCTCTTGGCAAAGTCTGTTTTCATGATTTCATCCAGTGACTCACCTGGGAAGACAGGTTCGCTCATATGAACCAACCACCACTTCCTTTTATCTTTTCTTTTCCTTTTTGGAAACAGGATCTCACTAAATTGCTCAAGCTGGTCTGGAATTTGCAGTCCTCTTGCCTACCTCTCCAGAGTTGCTGGGATTTCAGGCTTGTGTGGAAGGCCATCCTCGCATGTGATTCGAGTTACCTCCCTGGCTGGGCAAGAGGCACTTAGACACATCTTTGTGTCCAGAGCTTTCCCCACCCTTCTCAGGTCCGAGGGCTTGTCTGTGTGGAGGCTTTCTGGCCACAAGCCCTGAAGACCCAATCATCGCACCTGATCTTGGGACACTGCTCCCCTTAATCTTCATTGGATGGGATTTTCCCCAGAATTTTTTGTTCCCCAATAAAAGTTCACTCCCTGGCATGTTCTCTCTCTCTCTCTCTCTCTCTCTCTCTCTCTCTCTCTCTCTCTCTCTCTCTCTCTCTCTCCTCTTCAGTAAACCTCGCTACTCTAATAGGTAGCTTGAGGCCGGAGGTAGGAGAAGCCATCCTGGAGCTGGTTTAAAGGTAATTAGAACCTGTCTCTTTAATTCAAACTCCCTTTTGGATTTCTCACGTAGCTGAACCTTCATTTATGAAGCCTGTGCTGGCCGCAGGCTAAAGGCATGCATCATAGCATCCGGTTCTAAATGCTCTTTAAGTGACTACTCTGGCACTTACCAGCTAACAGAAGAGAAAAAAAGGTGCATCATGGAAAAGATAACCACAATAGGCAGATGGGTAAACAGAAATTGTCCAGGTGGTAGATACTTCAGATGTGTGGAAAAGGAAATGATTGGCTCAACAGGACTCACTGTGGTCACCCCCTGGAGCATCTGGGACCTTTGGCTCCTCTGCACCTCAGACCAGCTTCCAGCTTCAGGCCAACAGAGAAGAGCTTCAAGCTGCAACTTGGAACAAAGAGTAGATAGATGTCTATTTATCTGAGAGCAGCATCCTACCCACATTCCAGGAATGACAGAACAACATGAGAGTGAGAAACAGCTTCCAGTGCTAGAGAAAACCAAGTTCCTTGCACTTGATCACATCGACATGAATGATCTGCTTGGACTAACTATAATCAGGTTTTTTAAACATCTCCTAGTCCCACCAGTTTACTTTCTTGTTTTTACTTTCTTGTTTTTACTTTTCTCATCAACCCTATCTTCCCCATCCCCTAGGTGACATCTGATTACTCTGGCCTTCCTTCAGCAGGAATCTTTCTAGGTCAGTTTAGCCAGAACCTTCTTTTCCCTCCATGATTCCTGCCAGTGATTTTTCCATGCATGGACCCCTCACCCTGCTCCTTAGTGATAAATTCCTACTGCTCACACCACATTCAGAGTTGAGACCAATCTCTTTCTCTGTACTGGGTACATAGGTGGCTGTTATATAACTTTCTGCACTTCTTAATTATTTGAAAATGTTTCACATTTATAAAATACAAATAAAATAAAATTTAAAGTAAGGTCTACACCATTCTAAATTCTACCTTGGAATCCAAACTCATCTCTTCATCCTTCTATCAAAGTTTCCAGAACAGAATAAGTAATTTCTGATTACAAATCTTATTGCAGTCCTTAGCATGAAATTTTTTTTTTTCTCTTGGCTTGTCTGAGTCCCATCCTTTTCATGAGACTCAATTTAAATTTCATCCCATATAAAAAAAAACATGTTAGTTGTTCTTATTCCTCATTAAGAAATGAGTTGGTGTGGTATATATACACAATGAAATATTAATGAGCCTTCAAGAAGAATGAATTATGGCATTTGCCTGTAAATGGATGCAACTGGAAAATATTATGCTAAGTGAAATAAGCCAATCCCAAAGAACCAAATGGTCAAAGTTTTCTCTGATATGGAGATGCTAATACACAATAATGGGACAAAAATAGAGATTTTTTGGACTAGACAAAGGGGAGTGAAAGGAAGGAAAGGAGTATGAGGGTAGGAATGATAGTAGAATGAATTATACATTATTACCTTATCTGCATATATGATTATATGATCTGTATAACTCCACATCATGTACAACCAGGGGAACAAGAAGTTATACTTCATTTATATACGATGTGTCAAATGCATTCTACTGTTACATATAACTAAGTAGAATAAATTAAGAAATATATTTTAAAAAAGAGATGTGTTTGGATTCCAAGGTAGAATTTAGACTGTACGGACCTTGCTTTAAATTTCATTTTATTTGCATTTTATAAATATGAAACATTTCCAACTAATTAAGTGTAGAAAGTTATATAACAGCCATCTACTCACCCACCACAAACTTTAAACAGATGTTAAATTTGGAATACTTGCTTGATTATTGGCATTCTTTAATGACATGATTTTGAATTTGGATTCTGTAGGCCTGACCTGGGCATTTTAAGCTGGAGGTGAGCATCAAGTTAAAGGGATAACAGGATACCATGGAATTAGCATGAGACATTTTCTTGGATTGAATTATACTCAGAGATTGGAGAGATCAGAAAAAGAGAAGTATAAAATAGAAATAATTTTAAAATATCTTGACATTCTTAAATAGTAATACATTAAGGAGGCAAATGAAAAACGGATGTAAATTTTTAAGTTAAAATATGAACAATCAAAAGCTTCACCTGCTGCATCTACCCGAGGGACTGCATTTTCAGAACCCTGCCCCTCCATCTCCACAGGGGTACATAGTTTTCTCTCTTTGCTGTTTGGAATGTTTATGTGAAGAATATATGAAATGTTCTCCTCCAAGCCACAAGGACCCACTAAAGTTTGACATGGAGCTTGATATTTTTAAATACTGAAATTATTCTTGTCAATTTTCATCTCTGTGACCAGAACACCTTAGGAAACAACTTAAAGAAAGATTTGTTTTGGCTCATAATTTCAGAGGTTTCAGTTTGCTGGCTCCATTGATTTGGGCCTTAGGCCAGCAGAGCGTCATGGCGGAAGGTATGGCAAAGGTAAGCTGCTCACCTTATGGCAACCAGAAAGCACAGAAAGAAAGAAAAGAACTGGGGATAATTTAATCTCCAAGGGCATGCTCCCAAGGACCTACTCCCTCCAACCAGGTTCTACCTCCCACATTTCTGCCATTTCTCAATGATGCATTCAGCTGTGAAGCTCTCAATGGATTAATCCCCTGATGAGGTCAGAATCCTCAGCGTCCAGTCACTTCCCCCAAATCCTGACCTCTACACATGGACATGGTTGCATTGAGAAGCAATGAACTTTTGGGGAACATTCCATATCCAAAACATAACAATACTGCTTTTAGCTTACGTTAACCACTATCAATTAAAATAAGCTATTAACCTTAGTGTCAGTTGAAGTTTCTCTTCTAAGAGGCATTCTTTCAGGGATTTAAAAAAAAAAAAAACAACTGGAATGATCCAGTAAAGAAGAGAAAGAGAAGATGAAGGACCAACTTTAAGAGAATTAGGGGAATCTGAGTGTGGGGGCACACAACTGAAACCCCAGGAACTCAGGAGGCGGAAGCAGGAGGATTACAAGTTCAAGGTCAACCTCAGCAACTTAGCGAGGCCCTACGCAACTTAGAGAGAACCTGTCTCTAAATAAAATATAAAAGGGGCTGGGGATGTGGCTCACTGATTAAACGCTCTGGGGTTAAATCCTCAATACAAAAAAAAAAAATAGTGAGAAACAAAGTTTAGGATATACGAGGAATAAGAGCCCACTTATACAAGAAACACAAGGATGACTCGTCTTGTAGTGTGGTTCACATTCATTTCTCACATTCACATTCACTTCCCCTGCTAAGTGACAATCCAAGATGCTCACAGTGACTCTTGCTCCTCAATAAAGAAGATAAAATGTGTGAGGGCAAACCTGAAGGGAAAGCTTTGCATGCTAAAATAGAATATATTGAACTGAGTTAGTGGGGAACAATTTTTGTGACGAGGAGACACATATTACATAAACGTCTATGATCCAATTTATAACAAACGAAAAAGCTCAAAAGTTGATCACCTACAGCATCTTAAGGAAACCAGTTTGTATTGAACTGACCTTTTTGTAAATTTCACTGCCAGGCCTATTTTGAGGCTGTACTGTTACCTACTGACTTCAGCTTTTATCACCCTTACCTACAACATCTTGGCACCTGTATAAATCATATGATTGATCCTACTTGGAGATAAGCCATAATTTCTGTTTTATACTACATATTAAAGTAAAAAATTCTCCCTGCCCCTGCTGAATAACATGATGGCCACCTTTAGTCCTACTGCTCAGGACAGCCCTCAATTCCTTGGTTTGTATTCCAGATCACATATGTGCTTCCCAAGATTTTCCTTTTTTAGAGGTTGATCTGCTTTCCTGCTATTGATGCATCTGCCAGCACTTGTGAGAATCTCCTTCCCGCAGCCGAGAAATCTCTTTTGAAAATCAGTTAATAACTAAATTACTGAGATGATGGATTAATAAGGTGAGCGTCTCATGAAAATCATTTCTGTGGCAGATTAAATGTGATGAGGACTTAATGCTAGATCAAATTCCAGTTATGGATCAAATGATGAGTAATTTAGCAAAAAGAAAAAAACCAATTCATCATCATTATAATTTTTAGTAACTCAGTAATAATCACTTTATTATGTCACACATGGTGAAAGGCAGAATAATAACCCACTCTAATTCCCAGACTTCTGACTATATTACTGATGTGGCAAAAGGACTTGCAGATGTGATGAAGTTTATGAACCTTGAGATAGGGTGAGAATCCTGGATTATCCACAAGGGCCAAAATTGGAAAGCCTTTTCCAGTGGTCAGAGACACTGAACAACCAAAAAAGAGGGAGATAAAACAGTATCTGACTCTGAAGGGGGAGGAGGTGTACCACGAGCCTATAAATGTGAGTGGCGTCTAGAAGTTGCAAAAGGTAAATAGACTTCTCCCTAGAACCTCCAGGAGGAACACAGCCCCACCAATGCCCATCGATGCCTTGACTTTAGCCCAGTGAAACCCATATTGAATTTCTGGAATACTGAAACTATAAGTTAATAAATTCCTGTTATGTAAACCACTACCTTAGGATAATTTGTTCCAGCAGCAGTAGAAAACTAATATGCATTTTGAATAATTTTCTTACTTAGGCTCTGTTCTCTTATACAAATTCTGCCTAGTGGTTTTTAAAATCTTACTAAAAATTACATATTTCATTTAAGTAGGATATTTAGCATGTAAGGTAGGCAGACTCACACTTATTAGATGAGAATACAGGCCAGATTATAAAGTTCCTTGTTCAAGGTTAAAGCTGGAAGGTAATGGATGTCAAATCTCATCTTCTGTCTTTTTTTTTTTTATGACACTAAACCTGTCACTAATATTATTGCATCTGACCCTCATACCAACATATTTAGGCGAAAAGAGTAGAAGCAGATACTGTTACCTTTATTTTATGGATGCAAAATTTCCTATTTCATAGCAGTTAAGTCATTTTTAGTGGATAGAAGAAGCGCTCCTCATTTTATTTTTTTTGGGGGGGTACTGGGGATTGAACTCAGGGGCACACAACTACTGAGCCACATCCCCAGCCCTATTTTGTATTTTTGTATATGGAAAGGGTCTCACTAAGTTACTTAGTGCCTCACTTTTGCTCAGGCTGTTTTGAACTTGTAATCCTCCTGCCTCAGCCTCCTGAGCTGCTGGGATTACAGGTTTGCACCACCACACCTGGCTAGCTCCTACTTTTAACTCATAATCCAATGCTATTTCCAACTTGTGTGTCACCAATAAGACACAATGTGTATACCTAGAATAAAATATGAAGGGTATTTAAAAGAGGGAAGAATACAGGCTTTAGATAAAAGCAAACTTGATTTATAGCAGAAGTAGCTTATAACAAGTGGGTTTACTTTCTTGAATCTCAGTTTTGTCATTTGTCAAATGCAAGTAATAATG